AAGTGCCTTCAGCACTGTAGTACCAAGAGTACTATTCTGTATTACTCAACGAGAGAGAGAAAAGCTCTGTATCACACTCCATGTAATATTAATCTTTTTAGACACTTTTATATTGAAGATATTAAATTTTATCTTGTCGGATCATTACCTCCTAGTTATAATCCAAAATCTCTAGAATGATCGTATTTCTACCAAAGGATAACTAGACCTGTCTTTGATCCAACTACTGGTTACGAAAGAGAAAGCCATTACAGGTTAATTACGTAAAGGGATTCATTCAAGAACTTCCTGGAGTTATCTGGACTCTTTAATTGTGTAACCCAGCAACACACAAAATTTATCTTTTTGTAATAGCAAGTAGGACACCAAGATCTTTCAGAGAGAAAGATAAGGTGTCCGAAGGATCCCGTGGTCCTTCAAGCCATAATCCTGATTCTTGAAATTCTTACGTGGCTCCAAGACGGTCCTAGACCGAGCAGAATTCCAACATCCTTCAACACTGACAGTGTCTCGGTCCAGGGCAGACCTTTGCTTTATGTAATAACGTAGTAGATTGAGACACTTATGCAGCATATGGGAATCTTTATTCAGGAAACGTTTCGCCACACAGTGGCTTCATCAGTCCAATACAAAGAGGAAGGCGTAAGGAGAGGAGGAGTATGAGGTAATCAGTCCCTCAGCCTGGAGTCGATGTGTTCAGTCCATCAATCTTGTAGAATGTACAGTATAGGGCCGTAGACGTGGCTTATATTTCTGTAGTGAGGTGACTTGAAGCAGGACGGAGGCGGGATCTAGTGGTACCATCCACTAGTCGAAGTAGGTCTTTGTCCAAAGGTTGAACAAGCGTTGAAGAATTCTTTGTAAGAAGATCCCCTGATGCTGCAGTGTCTGGACAGTTTTGATGAATAGTTTGAAAACGACAAGTTGAAGATTGAGACACTTATGCAGCATATGGAATCTTTATTCAGGAAACGTTTTCGCCACACAGTGGCTTCATCAGTCCAATACAAAGAGGAAGGCGTAAGGAGAGGAGGAGTATGAGGTAATCAGTCCCTCAGCCTGGAGTCGATTGTGTTCAGTCCATCAATCTTGTAGAAGTACAGTATAGGGCCGTAGACGTGGCTTTATTTCTGTAGTGAGGTGACTTGAAGCAGGGAGGCGGGATCATAGTGGTACCATTCCACTAGTCGAAGTAGGTCTTTGTCCAAAGGTTGAACAAGCGTTGAAGAATTCTTTGTAAGAAGATCCCCTGATGCTGCAGTGTCTGAAAAGTTGTGATGAATGGTTTGAAAAACCGACAAGTTGAAGATTGATGGACTGAACACATCGAACTCCAGGCTGAGGGACTGATTACCTCATACTCCTCCTCTCCTTACGCCTTCCTCTTTGTATTGGACGATGAAGCCACTGTGTGGCGAAACGTTTCCTGAATAAAGATTTTCCCCTATGCTGCATAAGTGTCTCAATCTTCAACTTGTCGGTTTTTCAAACCATTCATCACAACTGTCAGACACTGCAGCATCATGGATCTTCTTACAAAGAAAATTTTTCAACGCTTGTTCAACCTTTTTGGGCAAAGACTACTTCGACTAGTGGATGGTTTCCACTATGATCCCGCCTCCGTCTGCTTCAAGTCACCTCACTACAGTATATAAGCCACGTCTACGGCCCTATACTGTACATTCTACAAGATTGATGGACTGAACACATCGACTCCAGGCTGAGGGACTATTACCTCATACTCCTCCTTCCTTAAAGCCTTCCCCTTTGTATTGGACTGATGAAGCCACTGTGTGGCGAAACGTTTCCCGAATAAAGATTCCCATATGCTGCATAAGTGGGCTCAATCTTCAACTTGTCGGTTTTTCAAACCATTCATCCAACTGTCAGACACTGCAGCATCATGGGATCTTCTTACAAAGAATTCTTCAACGCTTGTTCAACCTTTGGAAAAAAGACCACTTCGAAATAGTGGTGGTACCACTATGATCCGCCTCCGTCTGCTCAAGTTCAAACCCCACTACAGTAAATAAGCCACGTCTACGGCCTATAAATGTACATTCTACAAGATTGATGGACTGAAACACATCGACTCCAGGCTGAGGGATGATTACCTCATACTCCTCCTCTCCTTACGCCCTTTCCCCTTTGTATTGGACTGAAGACGCCACTGTGTGGCGAAACGTTTCCTGAGTAAAGATTCCCATATGCTGCATAAGTGTCTCAATCTTCAACTTGTCGGTTTTTCAAAAACCCTTCATCACAACTGTCAGACCTTTCAGCATCATGGGATCTTCTTACAAAGAATTCTTCAACGCTTGTTCAACCTTTGGACAAAGACCTACTTCGACTAGTGGAGGTACCACTATGACCCGCCTCCATCTGCTTCACGTCACCTCAATACAGTATATAAGCCACGTCTACGGCCCTATGCTGTACATTCTACAAGATTGATGGACTGAACAATCGGACTCCAGGCTGAGGGACTGATTACCTCATACTCCTCCTCTCCTTAGCCTTCCTCTTGTATTGGATGATTGAAGCCACTGTGTGGCGAAACGTTTTTCCCGAATAAAGATTCCCATATGCTGCATAAAGTGTCTCAATCTTCAACTTGTCGGTTTTTCAAACCATATCATCACAACTGTCAGACACTGCAGCATCATGGGATCTTCTTACAAAGAATTCTTCAACGCTTGTTCAACCTTTGGGACAAAGACCTACTTCGACTAGTGGATGGTACCACTATGATTTCCCCCCTCCGTCTGCTTCAATCACCTCCTACAGTATATAAGCCACGTCTACGGCCCTATACTGTACCCTTCTACAAGATTGATGGACTGAAAAACATCGACTCCAGGCTGAGGGACTGTTACCTCATACTCCTCCTCTCCTTTCGCCTTCCTCTTTGTATTGGACGATGAAGTCACTGTGTGGCGAAACGTTTCCTGATAAAGATTCCCCTATGCTGCATAAGTGTCTCATCTTCAACTTGTCGGTTTTTCAAACTTTCATCAAACTGTCAGGGCACTGCAAAATCATGGGATCTTCTTACAAAGAATCTTCAACGCTTGTTCAACCTTTGGACAAAGACCCACTTCGACTAGTGGATGGTAACCCCTATGATCCCGCCCGTCTGCTTCAAGTCACCTTTACTACAGTATATAAGCCACGTTCTACGGCCCTATACTGTACATTCTACAAGATTGATGGACTGAACACAATCGACTCCAGGTGAGGGACTGATTACCTCATTACTCCTCCTCTCCTTACGCCTTCCTCTTTGTATTGACTGATGAAGCCACTGTGTGGCGAAACGTTTCCTGAATAAAGATTCCCCTATGCTGCTAAGTGTCTCAATCTTCAACTTGTCGGTTTTTTAAACCATTCATCACAACTGTCAGACACTGCGCATCATGGGATTTCTTACAAAGAATTCTTCAACGCTTGTTCAAACCTTTGGACAAAGACCTACTTCGACTAGTGGATGGTACCACTATGATCCCGCCTCCGTCTGCTTCAAGTCACCTCACTACAGTATATAAGCCAGTTTTACGGCCCTATACTGTACATTCTACAAGATTGATGGACTGAACACATCGACTCCAGGCTGAGGGGCTGATTTCCTCATACTCCTCCCCTCCTTACGCCTTCCTCTTTGTATTGGATGATTTAAGCCACTGTGTGGCGAAACGTTTTCCTGAATAAAGATTCCCATATGCTGCATAAGTGTCTCAATCTTCAACTTGTCGGTTTTTCAAAACCATTCATCACAACTGTCAGACACTGCAGCATCATGGGATCTTCTTACAAAGAATTCTTCAAACGCTTGTTCAAACCTTTGGACAAAGACCTACTTCGACTAGTGGATGGTACCACTATGATCCCGCCTCCGTCTGCTTCAAGTCCCCCTCACTACAGTATATAAGCCACGTCTACGGCCCTATACTGTACATTCTACAAGATTGATGGACTGAACACATCGACTCCAGGCTGAGGGACTGATTACCTCATACTCCTCCTCTCCTTACGCCTTCCTCTTTGTATTGGACTGATGAAGCCACTGTGTGGCGAAACGTTTCCTGAATAAAGATTCCCATATGCTGCATAAGTGTCTCAATCTTCAACTTGTCGGTTTTTCAAACCATTCATCACAATAACGTAGTAGTTTAAAATTAATTACACCATTAAAAGTACCTCTGTGTTCTGCTTCAGGAAGAGTCACCCGTCAGGATCAAACAATGCAGGCAGAGTAGGCTGCTCAGTGAGCGATATTTGAAGATATGAACTACATACACTTATAATTTGGAAGGTTCAGGGATTGGAAAAATGATACGCGCTGGATGTTGCCTATAGTTTATGGTTGTAATGGTTGTGATGTCTGCGTTGTACTGAATGGTTGTGATGTCTGCGTTGTACTGAATGGTTGTGATGTCTGCGTTGTACTGAATGGTTGTGATGTCTGCGTTGTACTGAATGGTTGTGATGTCTGCGTTGTACTGAATGGTTGTGATGTCTGCGTCGCAATGAATGACTGTGATGTCTGCGTCGCAATAAATGTTTGTGATGCCTGCGTTGCAATGGTTGTGGTGTCTGCGTTGTACTACTGAGTGATGGTTGCTCAGAGGCAGGGTGTGGAAACGGGTGCCAGACGCAATTAAGGAGTGAAAAATTAAAGAATTAACAGCGTAGATTGAGGGACATAATGGTGAAATTTGAAGAACATAATTTTTTTTTATGTATATGCTATATATGTGTGTGAGTATTAAATTTTAACTTGCTGTAACAGTATCACTGATGGTGGCTTATTTATCTCAAAATATAACCTCCATATATACACTGAGAGATCTTTCCTTATTTTTTCATATATTTCTACTCTTTCTCCCTTCTTACATTTCTCTTCCTCTCCCATACATTTGTCATACCCCCCTCTTTCTTTTTCCCCCTACACTTTTCTCTCTTCCACCTACATTTCTTACTGTTTCTCTTATAGTATTTACCCTTATCTGTCGAACGAAGATGTCAACCTCGTGATCTTGGGCTAGTTGACTGGACGCGTCTGTGGAAAGAGAAGCGTGTTAGATAGGAGTGAATGGAGACAAACGGTATTTGGGACCTGACGAGCTGCTGGAGTGTGAGCAGGGTAATATTTAGTGAAGGGATTCAGGGAAACCGGTTATTTTATATAAACGACTTGAGTCCTGGAAATGGGAAGTACAATACCTGCACTCTAAAGGAGGGGTTTGAGATATTAGCAGTTTGGAGGGATATATTGCGTATTTTTATACGTATATGCTTCTAAATTGTTGTGTTCTGAGCACGTCTGCAAAAACAGTGATTATGTGTAAGTGAGGTGAAAGTGTTGAATGATGAAAGTATTTTCTTTTTGGTGATTTTCTTTCTTTTTGGGTCACCCTGCCTCGGTGGGAGACGGCCGACTTGTTGAAAAATATATAATATAATTAATATATATATATATATATATATATATATATATATTATATATATATATATATCCTAGGTAGTATGGTAGACAGCAACCGCCCAGGGAGGTACTACCGTCCTGCCAAGTGAGTGTAAAACGAAAGCCTGTAATTGTTTTGCATGATGGTAGGATTGCTGGTGACTTTTGTCTGTTTCATAAACATGCAAGATTTCAGGTATGTCTTGCTGCTTCTACTTACACTTAGGTCACACTACACATACATGTACAAGCATATAGTATATACACACCCCTCTGGCCTTTCTTATATTTTCTTACTAGTTCTTGTTCTTGTTTATTTCCTCTTACCTCCATGGGGAAGTGGAACAGAATTCTTCCTCCGTAAGCCATGCGTGTTGTAAGAGGCGACTAAAATGCCAGGAGCAAGGGGATAGTAACCCCTTCTGTATATATTACTAAATGTAAAAGGAGAAACTTTCGTTTTTCCTTTTGGGCCACCCTGCCTCAGTGGGATACGGCTGGTGTGTCGAAAGAAAGAATATATATTATATATACATTATATATATTTATATATATATATATATTTTATATAATTATAATATATATATATAATAAAAATATATATATTATTTAATATAAAAAAAAATCTGTTTTAATGATAGGTTTAAATTCACTACATGACCATAAAACCTCATTATTCATCAGTTTATTTCACATCGTTTCGTTCAGTCTTGACGCGCCACTGAACGAACTTTTATGGCAGCTCACTGTGAGGGTCCTTGAAATTTTCGGTAACAGTTGCAGTTTTCCAGCCAAGTGCAGTTAATGTCCCTTGATTTAGTTCACTTTCTCCGTACAGGAGGTGGTAGGTACTGAACGAAACTCACTGCTCTAGTGAACATATAATTACCATAATCTGATAACTTTATTTATTCTAATTGTTTATAAAATAGTTTATTTTATTATTAAAATCTTCATTATTATTATTAAGCGCAAAAACCGTAGGGGTCATCCTGTGCGTGGGGAATGGAAGGTGATTAAGTTTGATTAATAGAATTAGAGGGTTGATCGAGTTCCATGGATCAAGAGCCCTTCAATGGCATCATTGCTTCTCTGAAAGGTTGTCACTACAAGGTTGTCTATTTCTGGTCTTCAACTTTGTTGATTTTAGTTTTCTTTTGCAAATAGCAGAGGTAACTTTTTGTTTGTTGTTCTGCTGTGTGTGTTTTTTTGTGTGTGTTTGTGTGTGTGTGTGTGTGTGTGTGTGTTTGTGTGTGCGCGCCAGCCAGACATCCTGATTGTCTATACGTCTCTATGTCTGTCTCTCTCTCTCTCTCTCTCTCTCTCTCTCTCTCTCTCTCTCTCTCTCACTATTGACAGAGACCCTTTTCGATAGACACTTGACTTTTTTGTGTGTTTGTGCAAGTTGCGTCGCAAGTAGCGTCGCAATTAGCATCGCAAGTAGCGTAGCAAGTAACGTCACACGTAGCATCGCAAGTAACGTTGCAACTGGCGTCGCAAGTAGCATCACAACTCGCCGTACTGGCTAGTGCTACTGATGTCACTGGCTCTCCCAAGTGTCACTATCCCCGCCAGTTTCCCGTTTATCGCCAGTTATCGCTAGATAAAACGTGAAACTGTCTCTCAATTATTCGTGGCGTCAGTAGAAATCCTCGTAGATCACACACAACTAAACTCTGATATTTGAGCCTGTGACGTCAGGAGGTCAATATCCGCTTCCGGATAGGTCACGTAAGAGAAGGTCGAGTGGGAGAGAGAGAGAGAGAGAGAGAGAGAGAGAGAGAGAGAGAGAGAGAGAGAGAGAGAGAGAGAATGTATAGAAAACAGGTTATCTGGCTTTCTCTCTCTCACACACCTCCCTGTCCTGAGTCTTGTCCACACACACACACACACACACTGGTTCTGGAAATGTGCTGATTTAGTCTAACCTTCAAATAGTTCACCTTTTCCTTTATCTTCCTTTCTCTTCCTCTCTCTCTCAAGGACTGCAATCAAGAATCTTCTTCGCCAACTTTTGCCTCATTTTTGCACATCCTGATCACCTCCTCAATTTACTTCAACTCAGTTTTAGATGTTTACAAATTCGCTGAAGGGAAATTCTCCTTGCCATTTTGACTCACTCGGCTACATTAAATTTGATTTTGACTTCGAGTTAATCAGTGTTGCTAGTTTATAAAATAACCGATAGTTAATACTATTTGGAAGGATAGTATCTGGAGGCTTTTCTTTGCATTTGGTGAGGTGAGACAAAGGTGAGTACAGAGCGTCTCTCTCGCTCAGCAGACGGAGGATCAAGCCCCCACCACGTCTGGTAAGGTGAGACAAAGGTGAGTACAGCGCGTCTCTCTCGCTCAGCAGACGGAGGATCAAGCCCCCACCACGTCTGGTGTTGAATGACCCACACGGGTTTAGCGCTTAACATGAATTATTCATCCTGCATACAGTGAGCGTCGTTCAGGGTTACAGAGTGAAGGTGCATCTCTAATGTTATACAGAGGTTCCACTGTCTTCACTTCTCTGGTTGTGGATCGACCAGACATCACGGTAAATGTGGTCGCCTCTGTGGCGTGTTTTGTGTCTTCGTAATGTTGGCGCGCCGCGCTAAGTGGTGGCTTATCTAATGGCTTTTTTTTTTTTTTTTTTTTTTTTTTGCCTTAATGGATCTCTGTTTCGCGGTAACTTTCAGACAAAATGTTTGTTAATTTTTTTAAGACTTTTAACCCCCCAAGTGAGAGGGGATTACATCCCACCATAAACTCACTATACAACGTCTCTTGAAGTTCAGAGATGTTACATCTGTCAGTGTGTATACACACACACACACACACTTAGAGTTTGTTTTAACCTTTTTAGAAAAAGTGTTCTTGACCAGTGATGAACAGGTGACATGGAGCCTCAATGACCCCTTGTGTTGTGGACAAACTTAAGGTTAATTAAAGAACCAATAATAAAAACTTCCCTTGTGGTTTAGAGCTTCTTTTTGATTGTAATAATAATAATAATAAACTGTAATGCATTATAAAACTTAACGTCAACCGCAGATCCGGATCTTTGAACACACAGGATAAATAGTCTGTTAGGTAAACCATTACTTAGTCAAGAGTGTGAAGCCTCAGACAGGACCACAGATGTGACTGGGGAGATATGGTGATTTAGACGTGGGGGGGAAAAAGACACGTACGCATAGTTTAATGTTTTGAACTGTGCTTGCGTGTCTTTTTTTCACGCACCCACCGGAGATGAGAGCTCAATCACCGTGTTGTCCAGTGGATCCCACACAGTGGAGCTGCCTCCCTGGATGAGTCTACCTGGAGGTTGTTCCGGGAATCAACGACCCCACGGCCCGGTGCTCGACCAGGTCACAGCCTCTGTACGCTGTGATATAAATCTAGGTGAGTACAAATAGGAAACACGTTTGTCTCGCTCTCACGTGACTGAGGATCAAGCCTCCACCATGCCTTGCGCTGAATAACCCACATGGGTTAAGTGCTTAACATGAATTATTATATAATACTATACGCTGTGACAGTCACTCTTCCAGGGTAACATTCGATGTTCAGTAAAATTTCTTTCATTTTGGTATTTAATGATCCTCTTTTGTATATATTACTTTGATGTAACATGTGGTAAGCCCTCGTTTTTCATTTGATTATTTTTTTTGACTTAAAGAATACTTGGTGATGAAATAATCTCCCAAAAATAGTATGCATGGTTTTAAATAATATTGCTATCACCTTCCTTACAAACACACACATATTTATTTATATATGGGGTTTTTCAAAAAGATAGACCCAATTTCAAAGTATATATAAAGTAAAGAAGAGAGGCGGGTGAGACAGCCAACGAGGCAGCTGATTTGGAACGTGTAAGGAAAATCTAAATTCTTGGTAAGAGAAGTTAGAGTCGATTAGACTGATTCTTGATTCGGATTGCGAGAAACAAAGCAGTGACAGGTGACCAGTGACTGATGTGGGGGAAGTGACCAATGACTGATGTGGGTGCAGTGACAGGTGGCTAGTGACTGATGTGGAGGCAGTGATAGGTGACCGTTGACTGATGTGGGGTCAGTGACCAATGACAGGTGGCCAGTGACTGGAGAGATGGCAGGTGACTCTCTCGACATTAAATTATAAACACTCGGTGTTAACATAGGGAGCTAGCAATATTACAACAATATTGTTTGGAATGAGCAGGTAAGGTATGAGAGTACCATCGCCATACTGAGGTGTGTCCTCACCTCCAGTGATGCTATTACACTGAGGTGTGATCCAGACTTACACTGGTGCTACCTTGAGGAGGTGTGACCTAAACTGCTTTGTCTACAATAAAGTAACTTCGTAGGCAAGCATTTCGGAGAGGTGACCAGAGATACCTTCCACCGGTCTGGTTCAGGTGGACCAGGGATGCCTCCCACTGGACCAGTGGTACATTCCACTGGTCTGATTATGCTGAACATTAAGACTGGTTGCTTAAGAATGGAAGATTGAAATCTGAGACGAACTGACCACCTGGAAGATGACAGGACCTTGGAGGAGTGCCAAGAATGAGATCGATAGTAGTGGGTGATGGTGGTAGCGACGATGACAGCTATAAGTGGTGGTGGTAATGGCAATGGTTGTGGTGGGTTTTCTTAGTAGTAGTCATTGACCTTGTGTGGTAGTGGCTCAGGTGGTACTAGTAGTGGTAACGTTGGTCGGGAGGACTCGCCAATCATCGCAGTGGACGGGAGGACTCACTGACCATCGCGGTGGACGGGAGGGCTCACTGACCATCGCGGCGGACGGGAGGACTCGCTGACCATCGCGGTGGACGGGAGGACTCACTGACCATCGCGGTGGACGGGAGGACTCACTGACCATGTTGTTAGGTAAGACACATATGCAACAGTTAGGTATCTTTATTTCGAAACGTTTCGCCTACACAGTAGGCTTCTTCAGTCGAGTACAGAAAAGTTGATAGAAGCAGAAGATACTTGAAGACGATGTAATCAGTCCATCACCCTTAAAGGGTGATGGACTGATTACATCGTCTTCAAGTATCTTCTGCTTCTATCAACTTTTCTGTACTCGACTGAAGAAGCCTACTGTGTAGGCGAAACGTTTCGAAATAAAGATACCTAACTGTTGCATATGTGTCTTACCTAACAACCTGTCGGTATTTTATACCATTTTAATGTTCACTCACTGACCATCGCGGTGTACGGGAAGACTCACTGACCATCGCGGTGGACGGGAGGACTCAGACCATCGCGGTGGACGGGAGGACACGCCGACCATAACGGCGGACGGGAGGACTCACCGACAAAAACTTTAAAGATTAATCTTGCTAAGCGTCACAGGCGGGAAGACTTTTTTTTTTTTGCTGTTTTCTCAGCCGTGACGAGATTTTAACTTCTAAATTTAGAACGAAAATCCCCTCGTTTTTTTCTTTGCAAAAAACATATTTTATTCACGTAGTTGCCAGTTAGGTTTTTCTAAGTACTTTATCCATTTTTTTTTTTTTTGCTAAATCTCTTTTAATTTTGACTTTGTTAAATTACTGAAATAATGTATATTTTTTTTTATAAGGCAACTGCGCTGTATAATCCTCCGGGTTTAGCGCTTCCCCCTTGATTATAATAATAATAATAATAAGGCAACTGATAATTTACGCCGAATTGACTTATTTCGGTTTATAGGGCCATTGACAACTTGCGCCGTATTGGATGGACGACATTTTCCTATCCACGTTTAATCCTCTGAGTGTTTGATAACAAAGAAGATATAAAATATATGAGCCTATTCCCGAGAGGTGATGTGTGGACAAGGACAATTGGATTGACCAGCGAGTCAGACAGTCAGTCCGATAGACAGACACGACGTGTTGAGTTACTTCTTAAACATTGCAGGGAAAAGCTGAGGTAGGCCAAGGGAAGACATACCACGGTTGGAGGCTGGGGGCTGGGGAAGGCCTAGAACCTGAGAGAGTACCAGGCCTACCAGGAAGGCGCTATACACCCCTCCCGCAGTCATCGTCAATCTGAAAATATATATATATATATTAATAGTATATATATATATATATATATTATATATATATATATATATATATATATATATATATATATATATATATATAAAGCGAGCATAACTATACATTAAAATTGTTAAAAAAATATTAGTAAAAACATTTTCCTGTGCGTGTGTTTATGTAAATAGTCAGTAATAAGGGTTAACGAGTACATAAAGTTTTTATATGTAACACTAGAAGTCATGAATATAAAACTTTTATCTAAATACAAACTGTCTACACAGAAAAAAAAATCGCTTTAATGCTATGCTAAAATAATAAAGGGTTAAATTTCGATAAAAAACAAAATTATATCTTACCGAGAAAAAAAATATATACCAGGTGATACAGTACATGTGTTTCTTGACGCGGGTCTTAGTCATATGATGACCCGCAGCTGGACGTTTTGGTCATCTGACCGAGGCCTTCCACCAGCTTACCGCTTTAAAAAATATGGTTATAATTATAACCATTTTTCTTACTGGAGATCAAAATATTTTTGATGTTTAGTGTATGGTTAACATGTAGCCTTAGTGACTCGTGCAGTAGCTAGGCTTGAAACCTAAGTAAGTCATCTCCGCAGAAAATTGGAGAGTTGTTAAGAAGTGTTCTATATTTGTTAGGAAGTGTTAGATATTTAGACATTTGTTAGGAAGTGTTGGATATTTGTTTGGAGCTGTTAGATATTTGTTAGATGTTAGACAGTTGTTAGGAAGTGTTAGATATATTTGTTTGGAGCTGTTAGATATTTGTTAGATGTTAGACAGTTGTTAGGAAGTGTTGGATATTTGTTTGGAGCTGTTAGATATTTGTTAGATGTTAGACAGTTGTTAGGAAGTGTTAGATATTTGTTTGGAGCTGTTAGATATTTGTTAGATGTTAGACAGTTGTTAGGAAGTGTTGGATATTTGTTTGGAGCTGTTAGATATTTGTTAGATGTTAGACAGTTGTTAGGAAGTGTTAGATATTTGTTAGATGTTAGACAGTTGTTAGGAAGTGTTAGATATTTGTTAGGAAGTGTTAGATATTTGTTAGGAAGTGTTAGATATTTGTTAGGAAGTGTTAGATATTTGTTAGGAAGTGTTAGATATTTGTTAGGAAGTGTTAGATATTTGTTAGGAAGTGTTAGATATTTGTTAGGAAGTGTTAGATATTTGTTAGGAGGTGTTATATATTTGTTAGGAAGTGCTACAGTACCTTAATCTCATAGGATGACCAGCAGACAGACATACTTGCTGCGGAAAGCTAGTTACTAGATATAAGTGTATAGTGACTACACAATGAGCTGACTAGTAAGTGACAAGTGAGCTAGTAAGTGCTGTCTATCAAGTGAGCTGACAAATGACTAAGCTAATAAGTAATTAGTGAATTAAGTGTTAAGGTGAGGGTTGTACTAGCATTCTGGCCTTCCCTCCAGGGTTGTGTGCTCACTTATATGCGAGTGTAGGGGTCGATTCATAGCTCCTGGCCCCGTGTGTGTGTGTGTTATGGACATCGCTACACCAGCAGGGTCGCTAACATACACATTTACAAATTCCTACCAACCTACTGTAGCTACAAGAATACATTACAGATGTGTAATATTATTTTATGTATTTTATTAATTCCCTTGGATCTGACACACTATTTTTTAATTTACTTCAGCCATATTCTGTTATCCGTGAAGAAATATTCTCCACTTTCCCTTTTGTGTTGTCAAATTATGGCTTCTCTTTTAGAGATTAAAATTGTTATTGACTGTTGGTTCGTTAGGTTTAAACTTAATCGAAACTAACCTAACTAAATTTACTTAAACTAATTAACCAATATCCGATATTCTGAAGTTTTCATCTTTTTTTTTTTTGCAACCTATCACACTAACAATAATTTTTTTTAGCTTCAGAACATCAGTGCGCAATTTCCACTGTTAACAAACCTATATTTCGAGGCCATTGTAAAGCATTGTTATCAACGGTGATGTAACTGTATCCCGGGGGGGGGGGGCTTGATTTTTTTTTCGAAAATTCGACCCTCCCCCTCTTCCCCATGTGACGAGTTATGTCGGAACAATGAGGCTTTGACCCGGTGTGTCCTGGTCATTTCACTAGGCTAACAGAGCCAATAGATTAAAGCAATTCCTGGCTGCTACACCAACACATTCATAAGATTTTTTTTTTCATTCAGTTAACTCTAATATGCCGGATTTTTTTTTCTGTGCTATAAATGATTCTTGAGAGGGAGGGGGGGGGACATTCTTTGGAAACAATCAGTTTAAGCACATTTTGCTTAATGAAAGGCAATTAAATTTGTGAAAATTAATACTCATATTAGCCGTGAATAAGAAAACCAATAAATTAATAACTAAACGTATTATTTTAGCCATAGTACATATATATATATATATATATATATATATAATATATATATATATAATATAATATATATATATATATATATATATATATATATTATTTATATTATGCAAAACAACCACTCTGAAAGAATAGAGAAATTCCAAGCGCTTTCGTGACTACTCACATTATCAAGGAACTATGATAATGTGAGTAGTCACGAAAGCGCTTGGAATTTCTCTATCTTTCAGAGTGGTTGTTTTTGCATATTTTGAAATCACCTGTTTACTGTGATCTTATTGCATATATATATATATATATATATATATATATATATATATATATAATATATATATATATATATATATATATATATATATATATCTTTGTTCATATAGGCCAAATGGTGATTACTTCTTAGGTTAGGTAAGATTTGTCAGGAAACAGGACAAGTGTTTCCTGACGCGGGTCATAGTCATATGATGACCCGCCGCTGGAGCTTTTGGTCATCTGACCGAGGCCTTCCGCTGGCTTACCCCTCCACCCCTTCAAAAATTAATAATTATTAAAATCATTTTTTATGTAGTAACTAGTAGGGTTGGAGAAGCCTGGTTTATGGTGTCCCCGTCTTTAGTAGTCACACTATCGTAAAGAATTGTCTTCAAGTTTGAAGTGGTTGTAGACACTCGCTACATCCTCGTGGGCAAAGAAAAAATCTAATTAATCTACCACTCCCAAGAAAAACTTTCTTAGCGGGTCCTCGGCACTTCTTTTGTACTTAATAATTGTGGCGTCCAGGAAACCTTCCTGGAATGTGTATGTGATGTTTATTATAACTTAATTTGAGTTTATATATATATATATATATATATATATATATATATATATATATATATATATATATATATATTTAAAATAGACAGTAGGAGAAAACATTACTTCTTTTATATGAAGGCATTTCTGAGGTTCATGTTTTTGTACCCAAGTTTCTCTCTCTCTCTCTCTCTCTCTCTCTCTCTCTCTCTCTCTCTCTCTCTCTCTCTCTCTCTCTCTCTCTCTCTCTGTAGTGTTGTCACGCTCTCATCATCAGCTGCTCCACCTTCACGTGTCAGACACCAGAGTGCAGACACACACTTACGGCTCCTCTAATAACAAAGAATACACCAACGAAATAATACAGTGCTACATTATTCACTTGTGTCACGACAGGTGTCACACCACAGTAACACAGCACCGTAACAATACCCCTTGTTGCTGCCGCCTTCACTGTATCACAACACAGCACAGTGTCACAACACAGGAACACAGCACAGTTTCACAACACAGGAACACAGCACAGTGTCACAACACAGGAACACAGCACAGTGTCACAACACAGGAACAGAACAGTGTCACAACAGTGTCACAGCATAGTGTCACATCACAGTATCACAACAGTGTCACAACACAGTAACAGGTGTCACAGCACCCTGAGTTGTTGATGAGTTCACTATGTCACAACACAGTGTTAGAGAACATTGTGTTGCTGCCGAGTTCACTGTATAACAACAGTAACACATCACAATAACACATTACAGTGTCATACAGCGCTGCTGCCGAGCTCACTGTTAAAAAGGTCACTGCATGTAATATACACACAAAACAACTTTAAGGGCACTGTAAAATTGCATTATGCAAATTCAGGGGTGAAGCTATGAATTTCACGCCGGCTACGGGTTTTAATAATATTTTTGTAGTTTATCCCTTGACAGTAGCAAAGAGTAGGAGAGAGACGGCTGGGGGAGTAATTATAGAGGTATATTAGTACCTCTGGAAGAGACGGCTGGGGGAGTAATTACAGAGGTGTATTAGTACCTCTGGAAGAAGAAACGACGGGGCTAAGCTGGAGAAAATATTAGTATCGGATGTAAATTATTGTAAATATTATTTACGAGAGTGAAAACCAACTGCGACAGATAAAGTTAAAGTTAAAGCAATGAAATGAAAGTAGCCTCGCGTATAAACACGAGGAAAGTGGGCGGTACTTTGTTTACTGGCTGAATATGAAGATTATCCCCCCATCCATGACACTGGTCTCAGTGGTGCTGTGACCAGCTCACTGGAACTCACGTCATATCACCCTGACACTGGTCTCAGTGGTACTGTGACCAGCTCACTGGAACTCACGTCACATCACCCTGACACTGGTCTCAGTGGTACTGTGACCAGCTCACTGGAGCTCAGGCCACATCACCCTGACACTGGTCTCAGTGGTACTGTGACCAGCTCACTGGAACTCACGTCACATCACCCTGACCTACCGCTGGCTTACCCTACACACAAAATAAGATTAATTAAATACACATCTTGAGGTACATGTTTCCCAACCTTATAACACAATGGATCACCACGCACTAGTCTTCCGTCTACTAGAAAGAAAAAGAAACGGGAAGATGGTAATCGTATACTACAAAGAAATTACATATCAGTATAGTATAACATCTCATGAATAAAATTAAAAAAATAAATAATCCGTATTTTAATAAGTCATGAGTTATTAATTTGTTAGAGAACCAAAGAATCTTTTTTTTTTGTCACGTCTCCACGAGGGAGCTCAGGGGTCGTGATCCCCGGAATTGGAGCTACTCTACGGTTACTTCG